CGCTGAATTCATATGTTATTTCACCATTAACTCCTTCATCTGCATCTGTAGCACTCACTGTTGCAACTACTGTATCTATAGGGGAGTTTTCAGGAAGAGAAGCCTCATAGATTGTATGAGTGAAAACTGGGGCGTTATCATTAGCATCCAGTACGGTGATTTTAATGACTGCTGTGCCTGATTTCGGAGGATTACCACCATCGACGGCTGTCAGCAATAAAGCCACATCTTGCTGCTCTTCGCGATCTAATTCCCTGTCTAAAACTAACTCGCTGTATTTTGTGCCGACGGCATTCGTTAGTACGTTCAGAGCAAAATAATTATTCCTTTGCAAAATGTAATTCTGAACAGCATTTTGTCCTATGTCTGCATCGCGTGCTGCATTTATTCTGTAGCGAGAACCTTTCGGAGCTAATTCACCAATATCCAATTTAACGACGTCTTTAACAAAAACTGGTGGATTGTCATTTACATCCTGAATTTGCAAAGATATCCGGTGCGATTCGAGTGGATCTTCCAGTACTAGTTCACATTTTAAATTGCAAGAAACCTTAGCTCCACATAGCTCCTCTCGATCAATCCGATCACCAACAACCAGTTCTCCAGCATCAACGTTTATCTCGCAGTAACGTTTACGGTTTCCTTTGAGAGCAATCCGAGCCTTTCGAGCGGAAAGACTGCTTACTTGAAACCCAAGGTCCTTGGCTATGTTTCCAATCACCGATCCTTGTTTCATTTCCTCGGGGAAAGAATAGCTCACATCGCCACAACACAGCTCTACTGCCAGAAGAAAACACATGAAAGTGCAGACAAGGTTCACCAAAAACACGAAATATGCCATCACTCAAAAAATAAACTGAATGAAAAAGAAGGAGGTGATCAGCATTCCTCAGAAACACAAAATCATGTGTTCATGTGTGAGTAATTCAAGGAGTACAGTGCAGTGGCAAACAATAAGCTTTAACACTGTGGGTGGAGACGCTTGATTGTCTCATCTGTAGCCTGTTTTACAATTTTCGATTGGTAGACAGCGACACTCGCTGCATCCTACAAGGATTACAAAATAGCCTCAAGTTGACGAAAAGCAAGAAACTTAGCTAATCGAAAGAGACTTCATCCCGAGAAGAATGGCAGACGACAAAAGGCGCTTTCTATTGATTAATCCGGTTCTGTTTTATCTGTTCAATACCATCTACCCCACGGTACGTTAGCAATAAAATGTAGTACTAGATTGGATGATACTGTTGCTACAAACATGTATTTCTTGTTTATAAATGTAATTGAGCAAAAACCTGTAAAAACTCATAACTGAAAGCGTCAACCTGACACAACATCCAAGCAAAAATTCAGCCTAAAAGAAAGAGTTGCTGAATACCCAATTCAGCTCTGTAACAAAAGTCGAAACTATTATGAAGGAAAAAAATATTTTTTTCTCATTATTATATTAAATTATTCTGCAACGTTTTTTGTTGTTTGTTTTGCTGAATTCATTAATTAATTTATTTATTTTTAACGAATGGGTAAATCAAACTGCATAATTTCGTTGAATAATTAACACAACATATTTGACTGTGAGTAAATTCAAGAAAAAATTCTAATAATAAACACAACAAACAGAACGGAGTTTTATGATGTATGAAGGCAAACCTTTACAGGTATTCGCTCTACCAAACTAAGAGTTGAACCTTAGGAACATCCACAGTGAAAAATCCAGTATTCAATCTGCAAGATTTCGTATCGTTTATCTCTGTGACTTTTTTGTTTCTTTTTTCTTAATTAATTAATATATTCATTCAGTTGAAATAATGGCAATGACATAAAGTGATATTAAAACAAAAACGACGAATTTGTAGTAATATTCTCGGTTAATGATGTTATTCGGAGATTTACAAACTCAAGTTCATGCGTACAGTAATATACAATATTTTCATCTATGAAAAAAAAGTTTTATGAAAATAGTTGATTTGATTAAAAGAAAATAACAACGAAGATGTGTTTCCGAAGAAGGGTTGAATTTTTTTTT